AAAATTAATATATTCTTATAAGTATATTTATTTATAATACCTGTATTTATATGAACAATCTCATATATAAGATATTAAGTTTTTCATAAAGTAAACGAAGTAAACCAATTGTAATTATATTAAACTTAAAATTTTCTTTAAAGAATTTTCCTTAAAGATTCTTTATTTTTTATATTTGATTGAAATTATGTGCTTATTGTGTATATTCGTTTATATGTATATACATATAAATTGTACAATAACTCAACTAAACTCGTAATATCTCGGAAATGTCTCTCGTTTAGATGTTATTACTTATATCTAGTTTGATGCATCATAATATATCGTCGTCGTAATATATTATGTATAAATTTTTATATAAATTTTATATAATTTAATGTATATCTTTCTATTTGAAAAAGAAATATAGTTTGGTATAATTCAATTTGAAATTGTAAACATTTTGATATAATCATTTCTAATCAGATCTAAACTTTTTCTTCGAAAAAAATTTCAATATAATTTTACATAATTGTATATAAAATTATTAATATTTTGATATAATTACATGTAATCAGATATAAAGTTTTTATTCGAAAAAATCCAATATAATTTCATATAATTTGATATGGAATTATTAAGGTGTACAAAAAAATTCTGAGCTTTTTTTTGTAAAATTCAATCTTTATTCAAAAACAAACAAAAAAATATTAATCAGCGAAATATTCCCCGTTTGCATCAACGACCTTTTGTCTTTCGGGTAGCTTGCGAATTCCTTGACGATAGAAGCTCACCGGCTTCGAAGCGATAAAGTCATCAATACATTTTCGTATCTCTTCAAATCTCACGAAATGTGTATCAGTCAAATGATGCTGCAGCGACCGGAATAGGTAGTAATCGGAAGGCGCCATGTCTAGGCTATACGCCGCATGCGGCAGAAGTTCCCAGCCTAACGCAAAGATATGGTCCTGAGTCGCTTTCGTAACATGTGATCGAGCATTGTCATGAAGCAAGATCACTTTATGACGTCCTTGGCCAGTAAATGGCCTCTTTTCTTCTAATGCATCGCTCAAATTGATCAATTCTTGTTGGTAGCGGTCTGCCGTGATTGTTTCACCCGGTTGTAACAACTCGTAATACAACACACCTTTCCAATTCCACCAGATATAGAGCAAAACCTTTTTGGCGTGAATATTGGGTTTTGGCGTCAATGTCAAAGGTTGACCACGGTCAACCCATGATTTTCTACGTTTAGGGTTATCATAAAGAATCCACTTTTCATCGCCTGTAATGATTTTGTGCAGAAAATCTTTTTTCCGGAACTTTGAAAGCAAAGTGAGTGCAGTGTCACGCCGACGATTTTTGTTGTGTTCGGACAATTTATGCGGAACCCATCTGCCTTCCTTTTGAACCTTTCCCATCGTATGTAAACGTACGGAAATGGTTTGCTGCGTAACGCCAAGCTGTTCTGCAAGCTCCTTTTCAGTTTGCGCAGAGTTTATATCCAGCAGTGCTTGCAATTCGTCCGTTTCAATCTTTTGAGGGCGTCCAGCACGCGGTTCATCTTCAAGATTGAAATTTCCTTGGCGAAATTTTTGATACCATCTTTTACATGTAGTATGACTTACAACGTTCTCTCCATATGCAGCACAAATCATTGCAATGGCTTCAGCAGCATTTTTCTTCAGATGAAACGCGAAGTGGATGGAAAATCGAATATGCTCTTTTGTTATTGTCATCGTGAACACTACTGATTTTTGAGATTATGTGCATCAAACGCCAAACCGTATGGCATTTTAGAAGACCAAATGTCAACGCTTTAAAACCGCAAAAGGGCGGGAAGATATATAAAATTTAAATTATTATTTTGATATTTGTATGAAATCTAAAGCTCAGAACTTTTTTGTACACCTAATATAAATATTTTGATATTACTATAATATTTTGATATAATTTTAAGTACATATAATTAGATCTAAACATTTTATCCGAAAAGAATTTTAATATAATTTTATATGGAATTATAAATATTTTGAAATAATTGCATATAATTTGTAATATTAATAGATCTCATTATATATAATTATATCTAATATGATATAATTATATATAATTAGATATAACTTTTTTTCCCAGGAATACAAATTCTCTGCTTTAAAACACAAATTCTCTACTTTAAATTACAATTATGATTACAAATCTCCTATTTTATATAAGAAAATGATTTTTGTTTTTAAAGCAGAGAATTTGTGTTTTTGTCCAAAGTACGTACATAGCGCAACACACATAGATTTCTTGCTTTGTTTTCATTACATTCGGTCGATAACATTCTCATAATCGGTACTTATTTCCACGTTGTACTGTACCATGTTGCTTCACGAATTTACTTTTTTGTTAATAACTTTTTAACGAACAGTAATCGCTATCTACGAGGGTAGTCTGAAAAGTTTTGAGTCTAACATAGAAACAAGTATTTTTTTGGTCAAATATAGTTTTATTTTTCAACATAATCTCCTTTTAAGTCGATACACTTTTCCCATCGATACTCTAACCTGTTTAACCCCTCCAAATAATAGTTGGCGTCTTGCTCCGCAAAATAGGCGTTTACGTATGCGATGACCTCCTCATTCGATGAAAATCTCTGTCCTCCAAGCGAAACTTTAAGCTTAGAAAACAGGAAAAAATCGCTGGGGACCAAATCTGGTGGGTGGTCAACCAATTCGAAGTGCAATTCGTAAATTTTGGTCATGATGACCGCCGAAGTGTGAGCAGATGCGTTGTCTTGATGGAACAGCACTTTCTTCTTCTTCAAATACGGCCATTTTTTTGCAATTTTTGCCTTCAGCAAGTAATGATGCGTAATACGCTCCCGTTATTGTTTTACCTTTTTCAAGATAGTCGATACACACAATTCCGTGACTATCCCAAAAAACAGTCGCCATTACCTTCCCAGTTGATGGAACCGTCTTCATCTTTTTCGGAACAGATTCACCCTTTGCAGTCTACTGTTTTGATTATTTTTTTGTCTCTGGAGTGTAGTGGTGAATCCAAGTTTCATCTACAGTTATGAATCGACGCAAAAAATCTGACTCGTTTTGCTTGAACCGCTCCAACAGAGCCTTGGAAATGTTCATTCGAATTCGTTTTGGTCCAAAGTGAGCAAGCGCGGCATCGCGCGGATAGCTTGCGCGTATCCAATTCTTCAGTCAATATATGACAAACGCGTTCTTTCGATATGCCCATAGCCTCTGCTATCTCTCTAACCTTGATTCGACAATCGTCCAGTACCATTTGGTGAACATTTTCGATGTTATCAGCGGTGGTTTCGATGTTATCGCAGTTTTTGGCCGTCCCGAACGCTCATCATCAGCCAAGCTGGTACAACCATGTTTAAATTCAGCTGCCCATCTTTTTACGATGGCAAATGATGGGGCAGAGTCCCCGTAAACAGCGTCCAACTCGATTTTAATTTGCGCAGGCATATTGCCTTTTAAATGTAAGAATTTAATCATGGTATTGGTACGATATTCAATTTTTTCCACTTTTACAAAAACACTGACATCGACTGACACAAACAACTGTCAAACAACAACTGAGCGTCCAAAATGGCTGAAATTTTCACAAAAGTCTTTCAAATACTATTACCATATACTATTGTAGTACTAGAATGGTTTTGACGAGTAACGTCATCTTCATGTCAAAACTTTTCAGACTACCCTCGTAAAGGCCTTCTCAAGATCATTCAGAGTAGTGATCGCGTGATCCTGACAACGTATGGTATGTCAAGGTCATCATTGGAGGGGACTCCGTTTTTCTACATATTTACCATAAAAATTTACTAACATTTATATAAGTATATCTCAAAAACTATACGAGATCGCCAATTAAGTTATAAGAAAAAATTGATCAGTATCTTCATCTATATAACATATCTCAAAGTCAAGGTCATCCAAGCTATAAGTCTCCTAATGTAAATATTTATCAAATTTTAATTAGAAAAGAACTTCAATCCATATACAGTCATTTAAACAATAATGATAATATATTGACTCAATGAGAAAAAACATATAAAATAATTTTTCAACTGTATAATTTTATCTTTCCTTTAAACTATTATAAATAATTACATACATTACATACATTACATATTATATACATTTTTAATAATAATTCGAAAAAATGTTCTAAAGCATAAAAAATATTCGTAATAAAATATTCGTAAATTTGTTAAAATTAATACGAATCTTTTTTACCTTCAAAATAATTAATCCTTAAATTAATAGTTATATATGTATAACATTATATACATATATATAGTTATATATGTATAACATGTTTGTAAAATAATCGCGAGTCGTGAAATACCTGAATAATTCAAAGGTGAAATTTTGTCTTAGCTCAGCGAGGGCGCAAAGTTTGCGCGACCGGAAATAAGCCGTTTTTAAGCCAGCATAAATTTTAAATCGAAGTTACGTAATGGGGCGACGGGCGTGCGAATCGCTCTATTTTTATGACTAGGATATCATTCTACTTTAGTTAATTTAAACATCAAAGATAACGTAATGTAATATAACTCAACGAAGATTTACACCCGACTGATTAATTACATCGCACGAGTCAGTTTGTGATCCTAATAAATTCATTCATGAACTTGTTATTATTCACATATATACTCGTTTACTGAATTCTTTTAAAAATTGATGCGATGAAAATAAAATTGCTCAAAGAAAATAGCCGACCGAGCTGGTCAAATTAGTGAAATTAACATTTCACGTTCTAGATATATCTGACGAAATTGAATTTTTTAGTTAATCGTATCGAGAACTAAATAAATCTACAATACTAATGAATCCGAAAATTATGTTTTTTAATTAGCAAAATAACCAGATAAATATATCATAAAGAGACGCATTGTAATAAATAATTTGTCAAATATAGGAACTTATACAAGAAGAAGAAATTATTAAAGCAGATTTTATCATAATTTAGTCTAGAAATTTGAAAATGAGACAATAATTCACCTCAACGATGTAATGAAGACCCGATAGTGTCATCCTCGCTACAGAATCTTTTCTTCGTACTGGTTGCTGCCATCGTCTCAGAGTGACACCCTATAAATATTCAGAAATTGTGTTGAAATATTTTTATCATAATTCCATAAAGTATCTAATTTTCTTGCAAAGTCATTAAAAAGAAGTTTAAAAAAAATTATCTAATATCATAAATTCTTCTAATTTGACACAACTTAAGCTATATACAACAATAGTGTGAAATTCGTAAGTATCAAATTATCAAGAGACACAGATGGTGTCTCGACGCCAAGTTCATCCGCAATGAAATTCACATAGAATAGCGGCGAGACGCCCGTGGACTTTCTTTACGCGAAACCCCGGGATGAACTTAGTCTACATTTTCATATCTCAGCAACAATTGCTTTAATTAAGTTCTAACTACGTTTAATCGATAGTTAAGTATCAAATTATATAAGAAAAGTGTTTTTTTTTCGCATTCTACAAACTGAGATATCGCGACGTAAAGTTCAAATTGGTAAATTTTAAAAAACGTCTTGGGCCCCTATTCTTGAATTTGTTCGCAATATTGCGTATGCGCACATTTCGAATAGTCGAAATGCGTATACGCTCTTAAAATGCGATTCTGCAACACGTATTTATAGTATTCACAATTCAAAACGTATACATTTCTTATTGCACCGAATTATATTTAACAGCGTAAAAAAATATGGACTTTCCTGCAAATGTAAGTGCTATATATTAATTTCAAATGTATTATTTTATTTAATTATAATTATATAGTTAATTGATAAGATATTTTTGTCTTTTTTTAACTAAAGAATACAATTTTGTATATAATTATATAGTTATGGACAAAACCGTATTAGGTTAGAAAACTGTGAAAACTATGTGTGTTATTCTAAATAATATAATATCTTATATTTATACAAAAATGTTTTCGAAAAAGTAAAGTTAATTCATACAATCAAAATATACATATAAATTTTTGTATATGTTTTTCTTTGTCTGAAAATATTTCTATAAATATTTCTTTGAAGTTTTATTGTTAACAGTATATTATGTTGAAGCAGTTAAAACGTAAGATTTATTTCTTGAAAATTTGATTTTATTGTATGCAATTAGAACAATTTATTTATTAAATGTAGTTCAACAATTTCTATTAAATGTCTTACTGTAATTTTATTTAAGCGAAATATTGAAATAAATTGTTTATCGGATAGCTCAAAAGGATTGTCCCGAATGTGAAATCTTCTTCTTCTTTCAATATTTTTCAATCCATTCATGATTGGTATTATAATATCTTCAAGATCCATAACGTTAAGAGAATGAATTATGCCATTCGTTTCGAGATGAACGTATGCCATGACTCATTAGTTGTCTTGCGAATGAAAAATTGCGTAAATGTTTTATTTACGACCATCAAAAATAGCATTCTACAGATTTTAAAATGCGATCATTCGCAAGATGTAGTTTACATATACGTAAGTATTTCAAGAATAAGGTTCTAAAGATTTTCAGATGCGATCATTCACATCTGAAATGAACAATTTGCATATGCGCAACTATTTCAAGAATAGAGCTTCTGGTCGTTGACCGTGACTTTCTTTTTTCTGTCGCAAGAGCTGCTAGTGAATGTCTCTGTATGACAGCTCTTGCAGCGCTCATTTTTTTAATGTCTTTTTTTTATGTCTATTGTCTTTGACAGATGTCTTTTGTGTGAAGTTGTATATATTAATGAAAAAGAAGATATGTCACATATAATAGTAAGTAATACTGTAATTATATAATTAAATATTACTTTTTCGGAGTGGTATCACTCTAATGATCTATAAAAATTGTACAAGGAAAAGTACAATATTTAAAAATTAATTAATATTGACACGAGAAATACTTATCATTCATTTATAATTATTTTCAGAACAAAATAGTAAATTAGTGAGACACGCGTCCGCCGTCGCTAGGCACGCGTAGAATACGCTAGGTGCATGTAACGTACGTGAATACCACGAACACAATCGTGTTTACGCGATATTCCTTCGCTATGCTCCGACGCTTTGGAGTTCGCGAATTTCAGTGCGATTAAAAAAAGAAATATAAATGCTTTTTGCGGCCATTGCCGCACTTCGTCTGGCGGTCAGCTGTCCCCGACGGATGGTCGGTCGGGAGAAAATTGGAGGAGGAACGGAGCGGAGGGACAAGTTAGTACAAGCGCTCCGTTACAAGTATACAAATGATATACATATTAGGATAGGTTGAATAGTAGATATTATTTAAATTTAATAAGATTGTGATATAACACTTGAGTTTAAATAGGAAAACTTTTGAGTACAAAAATGTGTATTTATATTTTATTTCTATTTTGTTAAGAAGAATTATTCTATATTATAATTCTTTGAACTAAGAATGTACCACTTATAATGTTACATGACATGGGGTTAATTGTTGATTACACGAATGATATCATTTGGGTTGTGTTAAGTATGACAATTTAAAAATAAGTTTTTTATTTAAAGAGGAATTAAAACTATTATCACTAGAAGAGTTAGACTAGAGAGATTCTTCAATAAAAATACAAAAGTACTATGGCGTAGATTTTATTTAATGTTGCTACATATAATTAAAATTAAGTTAGGTATAGTTACTTCGCAACATAATTTTTTCAAAAGTAGGATTAAAACCACTTGAATTAGAATAGGAAAACCTTTAAATGGAGATACAAAGAGACATACCACTTAAGGTTATATTGTTTTGAAATAAATATTACTAGTGTTATCTTTTAATTTTGTTTTTTTTTCCTACTATACTTGACATCCTTTTTTATCTTTTTGTAAAAATGTAATTTTATAATGATATCAGACATTTTTGTAGTATTAAACATCTTTCTGTGTTCGAAAAGCGCGTCTATAATCTCACCTTTTATATTTGATATTTTTTTTCTATAATACGCATAACGAAATAAATAGGATAGAGAGCGGAAGAGCGAGCGAGATAACATGCTTGCTCTTTTTCCATGCATCCGATTGGCGATCGACAATGTCGTTGAATTTCGCGGCGAGTTTGACTATCAGTGACAGTTCATTTCGGAATGTAAGTGATGTTTACGCGCTATAGTCTATTATCTTGTAAGTAGATTCTAAAAAGCAATATGAATACTGCCATTTTAAAAGCATGTATTTTTCATTGTATTGTATTTTTATGTACATATATGTTTGTGCTTCTTTCCAGAAATCAAAATTAAAAGTACTATAGTCTGAATAGATTGTTGTGCAACTCTTGATTATATTGTGATATATTTATTTAAAACAATTAATCAAAGAAATATATCTAATAATTATTAACAAAACAGTATCTTTTCAATAAAACTGTATTAATAAAAATATAAAAATATATTATACTAATTTACATGTATCGTATATTTTCAGGATATACAAGAATAAAAAATGCAGTTATTCTTGCAAGAAAAGAATTATTTTTATAAGTTTTTATTATAAGTTTTAAAGCAACATCCTAAAATATTTCAACAAATATTAAATAAAAATTTTTTAAATATGACAATTTTGATGATTTTAAGAGCGAGCGTGGCATAATGGACAACGCATTGGTCTAGAGATTCAAGTCTAGATAGGATTGAAACATTTTTATACGCTCGTGTCTTCTCTCGACGGTCTGGCAAACCATGAGAGTATTCTTGTCCACAGAACTTTTTCAAAAATTTGCCATTCGGAACTGGCATTAAAAAATAGGTCCCATATGTCTGTGTATCATCTATATGCGCACCACAGGCATATGAGAGTGAAGTAGAAGATCTAAAAGTCTATATAAAAGTAGAAGAAGAAGAAGAAGAAGAAATTTAGTGATTTGATGTCTTTGCAGTAATACTGCTCTCTTTGAATTAGATTCTTGGCAGGTTCTTGCCTGCCAAATTCTTAAATGTGTGAAACTTTAAATTAACAGAGTAATATATAAAAATAATAAATATTATCATTTTACATAATAAACACTTCAACTTGGCTTTTTATTCTTCTTAACCTTATTCATTGTAGTTCAATTAATTAATATTAATTGAACCCCCACCGTAGTTAGATAAAACTAGACATTTTATATTGTAAGAATTAGACGACCGTAAGCGGCCATGAAAGAGATTCGGAATCTAAACAGCTAACAGAGAGGAGCCGTCGCAGTCGTGCAGACTGTGTCTTGGTAGTAGGCGAGGAATCCCGAGTTCAAATCCAGTCGGTCTCCGTTTATTTTTCCGAATCTAATAAATATCTTTCAGCTCAGAAATGGGATACAGCCCATGTTACCTCAGAGAGGATACAGCCTATGTTACCTGACAAGGAGAATTCAATGGATTTGTGTGTCGTTTGTGTGTTGTTCGAAATGAACAAAAGTCGGGGAGTAACGGTACTCCAATGTCGTGTCGATCGTTCAGAGGTGAACGAAAAGTCGGGGAGTAAAAGTACTTCAATGTCGTGTCGATCGTTCAAAAGTGAACGAATTCGGGAGCAGAAGCTCCAAGTTTCGGATAAAATTCTAGTAGATGAAGACTCAGTATATTCGGGATGAATGTAATGTACAGAATGGCCGAGCTGTAAGAATTAGACGACCGTAAGCGGTCAATGAAAGAGATTCGGAATATAAACAGCTAACAGTGAGGAGCCGTTGCAGTCGTGCAGATTAAGATTATCATTGTCTTGATAGTAGGCGAGGGATCCCGAGTTCAAATCCAG